AAAAAAAGGGGGGGGGGGGAGGGAGAGGCAAAAGAGGAGGTCAAGACTAACAAAAGAAAGTTAGAAAGGGACAAAAAAGAAGAAGGTGAGTGGTTGAGATAATGGTTTTCCTCCTGCCTTGAAGAAAGGGATTGTCAGAAGGTTGATGGCTCTATAAAAGTTTTCCAGACTTCTTTTGGTTAACAAAAGAAGTTCCAAGGAAAAACTGATGTGTGGTTGAAAAGTAGATGCCCGTGGTTTTGATGAATGAAAGGAATGGCCCAGGAAAAAGTCATGGCTCTGGCAAGATTACCTTATGCAGATATCTTTTTACAATACTGCCATTGTTTTACCAAGAGATTTAGCAATCAGAGAGGCAAACGGGGAGAATTAAAGGGGATGTCTATGTGCAGTCTTAGTTTAAAGGGGACATCCTTGGATGCTTTGGGACAATGAAGGGCCCCCATTTTTTCATCAAACTGAGGTCCTTTTCCCAACTTGACATGCCTGCCAGATCCTTCTAGTGCATAAAGATATTAGAATGGAATTGTTCCCTGCAATCAGCATTTTTTTATTATTTTTACTTTTGGCTTGGCTGTAGTATGAAGTGTGCCAAATTGCAGGTATCATGCGGGGAGCAATTCATGTAACATCTCCATGAATGTGTCTAATCCCCTTTTCAATATTTTGAGCATCACCATGTTTTATGACAGTGAGCTATGTGAATGAATTAGGACATGTTGCTACTTCCTATATAGACAGTGAGCCATACTGTCCTCCATGAAATCTGTTCGATTTTAATTTCCCATCTAAGTCCGTGTTGTCCTCCCTATCGGTCATTCCGCATTATGTGACCACTGAGTATACTGTGTCCTCATCGAGTTAATTTATTTGTAAATATTTGACATACTTCTGCCAATATGGGGGTTTCCTAGTGAAGCCGGTAGGTGCCTCCCTGTTGTAGATGCATAATATTATTTTGGCTGCATAACCTAATGGTGCTCCCATCAACACTTCTGAGACAGGATATCTGTGCAGAAGTCCTCTTTTTGGGCTGCCTGAAAGTACTGCTTAAAGAAAAGGAAGCTTATTTTCATATAATGCCCCATTAGTAGGGTTGCAAGACTGTGTGAAATTTGCCGGCTTGCATGCTGCTACAGCTTTCTGTGTTGCTGTCTTGATAAAATACACGCTCATCAAAAGTGAAGCACATTTCAGTCCCATTGATTTTTTTCCCCCCATCTGAGGATTAAGTAGAGGTTTAAATCTCTCCTGTTGAAATCAAAGATATTTCAAAGTGTTTACCCACAGCTGGACCATGCCCAATGTGTTTGGAACGATAGCTGGCTGTTTTGAGTTTGGTTAATGGATGTCAGTAATGATGAGCGGAGATGAATTTGTCCAGTGACTGCTAAGTGTCACAAGGCAGTTTTTCTAAACAGCTACAGTGTGTGTTGTAATAATAAGCAGCTCAGCCCAGAAATCTGAGCTGCTTAACCCTGTGGTGTTGGCAAGTCCAATGATCCCACTGGTATGCACTGAATCAAACACAGGGATCCCAGCCAAACCTTGGCATCAGGAGATTAAAGAGAGAGGGGGGGAGGACCTTTTGGAGAAAGAATAGGAGACAACAAAGCCTCCAAAATTCCACTTATCTTGCCGACACTGATGCTTGACAATGTTAGAAGAGGGGAAAAAAACATCTTGCAAGATTTAAAATGTTATTCAACTTCCTTATTGAGTCTGCCAAAAAGTAGTATGTCTTTGCGGTTATAGAAAGCAGTATGCTGTATAAGGTCTTTATCTAGCGGAAGCCGATTTAAGCTTTTCTGAAACATTTGTCAAATTGTGCAATTATGGCTGTGGAATCAGTGGTTATGTTAGGAGCACTTGGAAGGCAATGATTTTAAACAAGCACTAGCAGGTTGCACTCTGCATAGGATGAGGCTATATGGTTGAGATCCTAATCTGATGAAATTGGGATGTGTGAGTAAAATAGCACTGCTACTTTCCACAATAGAAATGGGTGGGTTCTCAAAAATCAGTTTTGTTCTACATTAGCAGAGTCATTTTGGAGTCCAAAATTTCTTTCTCACAATTTATTTTTATTCCAAAGAAATATTTTCAAGACTGGATGGGGGCCTTTAAAATACAATTATCTAGTCGATTTCACTTTGCTTTTGATTTCAAGGATATTCAGGTCTAGTTCTCAGAGATGGTAAAGCTGAATTAATAGGGTTCGTCTGGCTGGCTGGGGGATTCTGGGAGTTGAAGTCCACTCATCTTAAAGTGTCCAAGTTTGGACAACACTGGGCTAGATGAACCACCTTCTGTATGTATAAAATTCAATTTAATCTGATAGCTTTCTATATACAGGGATTTTATTTGTTTGTTTATTTTTATTTTATTTGCTGCTTGGTGTTTGTGGGGAATCCTTCAATAAGGTATATTCTCCAATCCAATCAGCAATGGATTACCGTAATGGAGAAGTTGCAGTAAAGGAAAAGAAAACCTTCCTTTCTCTTAGCCAGGTTAATCTTCTCCTACCTGATTATCTTTGAACAGCCATTAACTTCTCATCATCCCATAGGATGTAGTTATACAAATTGAGATTCCAGGAATCTGCGGTCACCAGCAACCACTGGTGCCCACCCCAAGTTCCTGCCACTGGATTCTAATGTCACGAGACAGAAGGGGAGAATTATTTTTATACCTGTGATATAATTATATTTACTATATTTATTTGATTGGGTCTCAATGAAATGAAATCAAAGTCAGTTCTCATCCTGGCCCCACCTACTTTTTGAAATGTGGCCATGGGTCTGTCCCTCAACAGCCAAATCTGGTCCTCAGACAGAAGAGAAAAGAGGTACCTCTGCCTTAGATATCAAGAAGGAACAACAATGTTCATCTAATGATCCTGATCCAAGAAGGCTGTGCTTTTGCAACAGATGGCCAATGCTCTGCATCTCTGTTTCAGTGAAAGGAAGGGGATAACTGACAATCCATCCCTTATTCCCCAGATATCTCTGTTTGTCTTAGAATAATACACAAACAACAGCCACCTTTCGGCTGACAAAAAGCAAGATATTTGGACATGTGGTGAGGAACCGAGAGCCAATACGGCCCCCAGAGCTTTCCAGGATCAGTCAGAAGCTGATTGTATGCTCAGCCGAATGGGCCAGTGTATGGCTTTACTCTCAGTCAAATCTGCTGCTCTCTAAAGATTTTTCTCTTCTCTCTTGCGGTGAGGCTTCTCCTTCCAGATGGACAGACCTTTGAGGGTATTATGATGTGAAGCATGTTCAACACAATATTGTCACAGGGGAATTAGTTCATCAGCAAAAAAGAAAATAAGTGCTCAGTCTCATAGGTTTGAAGGGACCCTGGAACTCCTCAGAATGGAAATATAGCTGGAATTCCAGAATTCAAGGAGAGAATACAGAAGGCGAAGATGACTCAGTCTTCCATTCTACTGGCACATTTCTCCCAGCTTTCAGCATATGAAAAGGAGAGCTTTTAAACAGAGGCTTATGTTGCCTTGGAAAGTTACAGCTAGAGTGGTTCCATAACTCGTTAAGCCTGTTCTGTGAAATCAAGGATGTGCAACTTCCACCAGCTTGAGGGCCACAACAAGCTTTACACACTGTGCTAAGAGCCACACTCCCAAGGTCTGTAGGCTCTATTGGGTTGTGCAACTTAAAGAGGTCAAAGAGGTGTTCTCATAGCTTAACTTCCCGCTATGTAATTGGCTCTACACACTTTGGGCTCTGGGGGCCATGAAAGGGATATTGGCAAACCACATATGGTCCTGGGCACACTTTCTTCATTTCTGCCTCAGCATTGAAACATAGAATTGGTCAGAATGTCTCCCTGAGATGGAGGAGTTGGGATAAGCCTGATTTCCCAGATGACCTGTGACAGAACTATGAAAGAGGTGGTGTTCTTCTTGATTTCTCAGTGGTTTTTTATCCACTGATGATAGTATAGTTCTGGACTGTCTGTGTGGATTGACAGTGGGAGGCCCAGTGTTGTGGTGGTTCTCTTTTCTTCATGGCTGGTCCTGGTTGGTGCTAATGGGGTGGGGAAGACGTCAAGCCTAAAGCCCTTGATTTGTGGGGTGCCACAGGGCTTGACACACTATCCCTTCTGTTTAACCTCCACATGAAACCTCTGGGTGAGGTCATCACCAATATACTGATGATACCTAGTTGTATGTCTCAACTTGTGCCAGCCAATTGATGGTGTCAAGATCTTGTTCCTGTGCCTGAAGGCTGTTAGGGTCAGTATGGGGAGGAACAGGCTTAAGCTTAACCCTGACACAACTGAATGGCTGTATATTTCTGAGTCTTCCAATTCCATGGAGTTTCCACCTTTAGTTCCAAATGGTGTAGCACTGCTGCTGGACACAGCTAATGTGCAATTTAGGATCCTTCTCAACATTCAGCTTTTGCTTGAAGAGCTGGTGGCAGCTATGGCTGGGGAGGGGTTTTGGCCAGATTCATCTTCATTACTGGACCAGGAAACCCTTCTCATATCCATTACACCTTAATTACCTCACATATGGACTATTGCAATACATTGTACATGGGGCTGCCCTTGAAACCCACTCAGAAGTGGTAGCTGGTCCATAATGTGGCACTGCAGGCAGTTATGAGTGTATCTCAGGATTTTCATGTGACACCTCTGCCACACAAGCTGCACTGGTTACCACTAAACTGCACTGGTTACCAGTAAACTGCAATTCAAGGTGTTGGTTTTAACCCATAAAGCCCTTCACAGCACAGAACCTGGTTATTTACTGTATTGAATATTGTTTTCAACTTACATGCTCTCCAAAATCGTGATAAGGTGGACATTTATTAACGTGACAAATAGATAAATACATACTGCATGTACTACAGAAGCTTGGGTGACATTTTTCTGCAAGAGAGAAAGAGAAATGAAACTACTTTATATGTATTTATACTGATTGCTTATGTATGTGTTGTTTTTACTGGATTGTTATAAGCCGCCCAGAGTCGATCTTCTGTGAGATGGGCGGCCTTACAAATTTGATTAATGAATAAATAAGTGAGTTAGATCCTGGAGATATCTAGTCTGGTATATGCCTGTAGCTGGGAAGGAGGGGGAGAGAAATTTTCTCTGCTTCCCTAAATATTTTATAACAAAGACTAATCACTACAAGTTTCCTTTAAAAATGCCATCCACTTTTTTTAGGTGTCCCACTAAACTTTCAGGCTAGTTATAGGCCTGGCCCACTGTGGTTTCTTCAGGGTCTCTAATAAGCTCTGCAGTTAGAAATTGATATAATTAGACTTGGAGTGGCCATTGTTCATCAGGTCCCCAGTATGGGGAGAAAAGGTTCAATTTTCTGTCTCCGTCTGCACAGTTGTAAAGTGTTCCACAGTGCTGCTCTTTACATAACAAAATATGTGAAGTGAATATGCTTCTCTAGTTTGGTCCTGAGAAAGATAAAATAGGAGTCTCCTGTGCCCCAGAGAGATTCTCCTGTAATCAGGCGTTGGACCCGATGGGATGGCTCATGCCGTCACAACTGAGAAATATTCATGTGTGTATTTAGATGTGTATGTTTACATGTGTGTAGGTGTGATTAACAAATGGGAGAGGGGGAGCTTAAAAGCCAAGCATTTTAGCTTCTGTCAAGGTTATCTGCAAATGGGGACAAGTGATGTCACCGTTATGTCATTTGTGCAACGATCTCATGAGGTACGGGATGTTATTCTGATGTTACTGTGATTTCTAACAGATAGATATGGCTTTCTTTCTTTCTTTTTCTTATTTCCTCAAATAAGAATAAATGTGGAAGGTATAGAATGTTTTAGAAGAGAATATTTTAAGTTCAAATCAGAGGACCAAGACTATCCACCAGGTTGGAGCCATGTGCTCTCAAAGTGTCTGGTTTTGTGTTTAGAGATTTTCTGTTATTTAAAATACTTGCTGGATCAATGGCCTTTATTAACAAATCAGACTGACTGCAGCGATTTGAACGAAGTGATTCACCATAGGTTTATTCAAGTGATTAGCTGTTTTCTTCTGGGCTCTCAACTGCTATGATCAAGGAGCTGCTAACTAAAAAATCAAACTGTTATGATCAAGGAGCTGCTAACTAAACCCCTGTCCCTGTTTGCAAAGCTAACTAAAACACGCACGCACGGAAAGAGAGAAAGAGAGAGGTCATCAGCCCCAGTAAAATTAACAATGCAACTTCAGTCTTATCCTTTCCCTTCAGTGGCATTTTTGAATAAACAGCTATAAGAACCGAAGTGCTAAATCTGTGATATAGAAGCCCAACGGTGTGGCCTTGTCTTCCACCATGTCTCCAATGCTTTCCTCCTGCACGTTTTCATTATGGTATTATAAGAGTGTCTCTGCAAAGCTTTTAGAGTATGATTCTCTTGTACATCGTGGCTGTGTCCTTGCAAGATGGCTACAGTGTCGCTGAACAGAGAGTTCCCACCATATGTGGGGATCTGAGTCTCCAATCATTTGACTGCACAGTATCTTTTTTCCCTTCATTCTGTTTCCACAAGCAGTTATTGGGGATTTGACATCTTATTATGCTACATGGGGTAAAGGGGGAGCAGTCAGTTATGATCCCAAAATGAGTTGCATGTTGATGGGGCAGCCATACAGATTGATTGAATGATCGAATGAATGAGTATGTAAGTAAATAAGTCAGAGATGGAGAACATGTGGCTCTCCAGATGTTGCTGAACTACAAATCTATTTATTTCTCTAAATAAATAAATAAATCTGGCCTCTTTCAGCTCCACTTGGCCATGCTAAGTGGAGCTGTTGGGAATTGTACTCCGGCAACATCTGAAGAAGTTCCACCTCTACTCCAAAACATGGGAAAGAGAAGAACCACTTAGAAGAGCACAACCTTCTCCATATTCAACTACTTTTCATGCTTGTTTTCCTTTACCACCCACAGACAGCAAGCACAGATTCCTATTGCGACAGCTGGTGTCGTCTACCCGGGAGCAATTGCCATGACAGGAATGCCCTCCCCACATCTTCCCTCAGAGCATTCAAGTGTATCTAGTAGCCCAGAGCCTGGGATGCCCGTTATCCAGAGCACTTATGGTATCAAAAGTGAGGAGACTTCCCATGTCAAAGAGGAGATCCAGGCCGAGGACATCAATGGTGAAATGTACGAAGATGATGAGGATGAAGACGATGACCCCGACGTGGACTACGGCAGTGATAGTGAAAACCACATTGCAGGACAAGCCAACTGATAAGGGGTTCCCATTCTTGGTTTTGACCTTGGAGGACTTTAGCGGAGAGCCCCGTCTGGTTTCTTACCCAGTGGCCAAGCACATGAACTTAATCCTCATACACTGACTGTTACTTAAAACTCTTTAGTCTTAACTAGTTGGGACATCAGCTGATCACGAGATATCAGCCTGCATTGAAAACTTTGGAAAAGCAAGGAAGAAATTCTAAAAAAAAAGACAAAGGCTCAGAGGAAGAAACCCTATCAAGGAAGTCAATGATGACAAAGAAAAAAAGGACAAAAATAAGCTATGGGTAACATAATGCCAGTAATTCAGCTGCTATACCCAAGCACTGAAGTCTTACCCGTTCGACCTTTTATTATTTTTTTTTCAAATAAACTTTATGGCTATTTGTTCTATAATGTTCTAGAAAATTCTCACTCAGGTACACAGTGCCAACAAGTGGCTTGTGAATGTGTTCTGTTGTTTTGTGTACAATTTAAAGAAAAATTAAGATTTTGGGGTGGGGTTGGGAGAGATAATGCATCTGATGAAGGGGGGGAAGAAATGATACAATTCTTTTAATTCCTTCCCCCCTCCTCTATTTTTCCACCACCTTTTCTTCCCCACCTTTCCAGAATGAGACTTGAAAGCATGTTATGCATCTGGCTGGAATGCGGGGACCAAGCCAGGTTGGATGAGTCATGGTTGCTTAGCAGCAGGGAAGAGATCCTAAGGATCCTAAGGATGTAGGAGAATCAAGATGCTGGAGATTGAATATTTAGGATCTGCTCAGAACCTTTGGTGTCTTATACCAGTGCCAATGGGATACTGTGCAGGATGCAATAAACTTTTGCATTACTTATATCATTTACAGCCCAGACCTTTGATCTTATGAACACACCTTATGCCAGGTCAGGCCACTCATCCTTTTAGAACAGGAATGGGCCCTCAATCTACCTTCAAAGCTCCTGAAATCAGTGACCTGACCCTTCCCTAGAGCTCTCTCCATGAGAAGACAAGAAGGTATCAGAAAAAGTGAATAGTGCCCACTTTGAGCCCTGACCCCACCTGTTGCCAGCTGTGTGGCCCTAGCTGATTACTCCTGAGGAAATGTAGCTCTTGACAGAATAAAGGTTGCCCAGTCCTCATCTGGACCTGTGCATCTTGGTCTAGCAGACAGTGGGTTCTCAACCCCTCCAAAATTCTGAATGACAGCCCTTTTGCAAATAAAGTTTATGGTCCAGCACTCAGTTATGGTCTTTTCAAAGAGAAAGACATAAATTAACCATCCAAAATCCAATCCGTTGACTATATATCTGTCCTTTCTTATTGTTCTATCCAAATCTTTAGAAGAATCCTTTCAGTCATCAGGTCTCAGATCAGGATCTCCTAGGAAGATTCCCATGGCCTCTTCCCACTTTCATCTCTGCTCAGCCCTGATGAGCATTAACTGAGCAAATTCTGCTATATGGGCTGCAGTTAGACATGATCTATATCTCTGTTGTAGCCACCCCAAACAACCAACCAAACAACCAGCCTTCCTTTCTAGGCAAGTACTACTTTCACCCTTCCACCAATTGCACACCAGACCAAGTGCCAAATCTGTACTAATGTGAGAAATGATTTCCATTTCATGTTTTCTTTTCTCATTGGTTGTCTTGATTTTCTTTCTTTCATATTGTCTTCAGTCTTAAATTAGGGCAATATTGTGTCTTAGACAATCCCTTGAAGAAGTCCATTGCCAGCAGCTGATAAGGTTAGTTATTGTTCCTTTTTTTTTAATGAACTGTAATGGAAACTGTAGGAGCCATTCTCAGGTGAATCAATGAAGATATATTTGGATTTGTGTATGTGTGGGTGTATGTGCATGTATTGTGTGTCAATGGTACTAATAAGGAAAAAAAATAGACAATTGTGAGATGGAAAATGAATAACTGGATTGTATTCACAAAATGTTTGAGTCTGTATGCCATCATAACTTACCCCACAAGTAGCTAGGTATAGAAACATAGATTTTTACAGAGGAAAAAAGAGGAAGAACCGGCTTCCTAATAAGGTCACTGGAATGAAAAGAAAAGGATTGGCCAAAGCCTTCTGTCCACATTTTCAGACCCACAGTTACATCTTTTATATGATGGGAGCTGAGTCTACATCTTACTGTCACACCAATAACATGTTGTGTCATTCGTGGAGAATCACATGGAGCATGTGAGTGATTCACCCAATGTGTCTGACTTCTTCTTGCTTTACACATGTTGCTATGAGTGCAGAAGCTGAAGCTTTAGACTTGTTTCCCATGGCATGAAGTAGGGCTTTGAATAGAAGTGCTAGGAGATACCCCCATGTCACTGAGAACTGTTTTTGGGGTTTCAGGGAAGTTCTACTAGCCAGAATAATTTGATTCACAAACCAACCAAGTCTAAGCATTTGCATTTCAGACACTGATTCCTCTGTTGAGGTGTACCTCCTGCTCAAAGGCCCTACTAACTGCCCCTAATACTACCTCATTCATTCCAATGTTAGAGGAGATTTGGTGTGCATAATCCTAATTTTGGGGGTACATTGGAATGAATGAAACACAATCTGCTACCAGAGTCTGTTGCATGTTCCCTGGACTTGTGTAAGGCTCTCTGTTGGGATGAAGATGGAAAGAACTTTGAAATAAGTGGGTTTAGTGTCCCCTTATTCTCTCCCCTCCCCCCAAGATTAGTGTGTGAGTCAAAATAAAATCAACTAAATGGAAAGACATTGGTCTCAGCAGGTCCACCTGCACTGTAGCAGTTTGATGGCCAGCCATGCCCAATCTTATCAACAAAACTGCTGATAGAAATAGAGAAGATAGGAGTGGCAGAACTGTCTTTCCTTCCTTCAGACCATTCTAATTGGTTTATTGCAAGTATAACTCTGCATGTATACTGATGATGGGAAAACGTAGCGTTCCAAAGAAGGTTTTTGAGAATCCCAACCTTCATTTGTTTTTAAAAAGTAGGAGATGGAACAAGCCTCCTGCCTTTCTAGTTGGAAAGCTATGTTTGCATACGTACATGCAATCAATGCCCAGTGGATCTCAGAGGTTGAGGACAGCTGCAGAGTAATATTAAAAGTAGTCATTGATGGGGGGGGGGGGGTTGCACAGGGCAGGCTGAACCTACCATCCTAAACCCATTTCGTAAAGGAGTAACAGTGACTTATTTCTGAATAAACATCAATAGAATTAATGATAGGTAAGTGGGAAATTAGAAAATAAGTTTGCTATGCACTGTGCATAAGAACTGCAGAATTTAGGTTTAGGTCATACGGGTTGCCCAGTCTTTTCTGGACAGGGGAAAATGCTGGCATCCTATCGATGTAGGCCATCACAGATTTTCTCAAGCTATGGTGAGATTCCACCCCCACTTTGGCCCCATATTGGCACACTTCTAGTGCTTCCTTCAGCAAAATGTTTCCTGTTTCTCTCTTTCAAACAACTTGTTCCGGGATTCTATTCAGAAAAGTGCATCACAATTGTGATGTCTTCTTTTGTCTTGTTATGGTTGTATTTCATGATTGTGCACATTTTTTTTCAGCTGAACTGCTTCTTCATATTAATGTTGTAAAGATGCATATAATAATATGCAAACAATATGGCCAGCAGTTCCAGCTAGTAAATTATGCATAATTTATTTCTGTTTTTCTACATTATTTTTGATTTGGCAGTTACCATAAAGAATAAGTACAGCTGTTAAAAGTATTTTAAAAACAAATATATCCCTTCCTCCTTTTGATATATACTTAATAAACAGCTGGAATTTCACCATGGCCCATTCATCACTTTAGAGAAATTAAAATAATGCTGGGCCATCAAGTCCAGAATGAATTATAAGAGACTTGAAATTGATCGTAACTTTCCTCTGATCACTTGGATTATTAAACATACTCTTGAGCCTTTCAATATAGATTATAAATGTATAATGTGAAAACTGAACATTTTGTTCTCTTTTTCTATAAGGAAAAAAAAAACCCTCAACCAGATGGTTCCCTATTTTTCTGAGCAAAATATTTCTGACTCTTTGAGACCCTTGACTTCCGCCATTTTGCACAGGCAGATGGGGTTAATGATGTAGCTTTGCTCCACCTTAATACTTTATTTTAGCTCCAGATTCCATCAAAATATACAAGGTTGAAGTAATTCATAAATAGATGACATATGAGAATATTTAATCTTGGCTATGTCTGCGATGCAAAACACTGAACCGTTGCAATGGTTCGTGGTCCTAACGAATACTGCACCATGTTCCTCCTTGCAATTTCTCAAAAGTTTTGTTCTATTTCTGTTTTATTATGTTCTTCAAGTAATTGAGAATTTCTCCTGCTGATGTTTTGGAGCTTATTTTATTACTGGAGGTGCTGGAGAGTACCACCATTGAAGTGGTTTTCTGCTACACCTCTTTCTATGATTCAGAAGCTTTTTGGAATATTCACACTCCCAAGCTAAAAAAGACCAAAGGGAGGAAATTCTTTTTAATGTCTTCCCTTGGGACTGAATGAAAGCTGGAGAAGCCAGGGAGGCTGCAGAGAGAAGCTTGTGTAAAGACAGACAGGATGATCTCACATACAGGTAGTCCCCAGTTTAAGAACAAGTTCT